AGCTTAAAGAAGGCTATGACTACGATACCGATCCTAGCTTTGCCAGATTTCACTCAGATCTTCATAGTGGAGACAGATGCATTCGGGTATGGGTTGGGTGCAGTGCTTATGCAGAGTCATAAGCATATTGCCTATTTCAGCCAGGTGTTGACTGCTAGAGCCAGACTGAAGTCAGTTTATGAGAGAGAGTTAATGACCATCATTTTGGCCATCCAAAAGTGGCGGTCCTTTCTAGTAGGGAATATTTCATTGTTAGGACAGATCAACGGAGCTTGAAATACCTGCTAAATAGTGGATGGTGACAAAGGAGCATCAGTGGTTGTCCAAGTTGTTGGGGTATGATTTTGAGATTCAGTACATACTAGGAGTGGAGAACAAGGCGACAGATGTCTTATCCAGATGTATGGAATAGCTGCAGACAGTGGCACTATATGTTTCTTTGATGCTATATTGGGAGGCCATCAGAGAGGAAAGTGTTAGGGATGAGGATTTGGGAAAGATCAGGGTAGATTTATTGAGGGAAGAGGGTAACCATCCAGGGTACTCATTGGAGGGGGCAGACTATTATATCAAGGGAGGTTTATGATGCCTTGGACTTCGATCCACATCTCAAACTTATTCCAGGAGTTTCATGGAAGCACTGTTGGAGGTCATTCAGGAGTGTAGAAGACATACATGAGGCTTGCTTCGGAGCTTTACTGGAAGGAGATGTATAAAAATGTAGAGGAGATGGTTGCCAGATGTAAGATATGTCAAAGGAATAAATATATGGCTATGTCACTAGGTGGACTACTATAGTTGTTGGCTCTATCGGGACGAGTATAGGAGGAGATATCCATGGAATAGATGGGCTACTCCGTTTAGAAGGTTTCACGGTGATTTTAGTGGTGGTGGAAAAATTGAGCAAGTATGCTTATTTCATTCCCCTCCGACACCTTTACACTGCGGTGACATTGGCTTCATCTTTCATCAGAGAGGTGGTCAGATTGTATGGAGTGTCAGATGCGATAGTATCAGATAGAGATAAGGTGTTCCTCAGCTACTTTTGGAGGCAGTTGTTCAGATTATAAGGAACAGTTCTGAAGAGTAGCACAACTTACCACCCACAGACGGATGGCTAAACAGAAGTAGTCAACAGGAGCTTGGAGACTTACCTGAGATGCTTTGTGTCGGAGACACCCAAGCTATGGGCCAAGTGGCTATCATGGGCTGAGTATTGATACAACGCATCTTTTCATTCTGTTTCTCAGATGACCTCATTCAAGGTGTTGTATGGATAGAGTGCTAGAGGATTTGAGGGGAGGGATAGAGTGCTAGAGGATTTGAAGAGTCATCTACTGAGAGCTCAACATATTATGAAGAAACAAGTTGATGGGCATATGAAGGACATCCAGTTCGAAGTGGGGGAGAGTGTGTTTTTGAAGATCCGACCATACAGACAGAAGATATCCACCAACAGGAGGAATGAGATGCTTGCTCCTAGGTACTTTGGACCTTATGAAGTGCTGGAGAAGGTCAGAACAGTAGCATATCGGCTAAACTACCACCAACAACGACTATACATCCGGTTTTTCATGTATCTCAGTTGAGAAGGGCCATTGGTGACTATACAGCCATCCCGGAGTTACCGACGTTACTTACTGAGGATTTAGAGGTGGTTCTGGTACCCTTAGAGCTGATGAGGGTTCGCCAGAAAGAAAGATGGAACTAATGAAGTATTGATCAAGTGGAAGAACCTTCCTGATTACGAGGCCACGTGGGAGCCATATCAAAGGGTGAAACATCAGTTTCCTTGTTTTCACTTTAAGGACAAGGTGATTCTTTTGGAGGACGGTATTGTTAGGCCGGTTCACCCTAAACCGGCCCAAGGGCCAGCTCAGGTCTACAGGAGGTGGAACCTGTCCGCCTCCCTTTCTCTTGCCCGCCCACATTGTGGGCCCCACCAGTTCAATTGAATTCAAATTGAAAAGGAGGGCGCGGCTAGGGCTTGGGAGGAAAATTAGATTAGGAAAGCTTTTGTATTAAAGAGCATGAGATGTTTAGGGAGGGATTATATTTTGATTTGTTCTCAATTAAGGTTTCTTGGCGACTTGGGCTCTAGACTCTCTTGCCCGCCTCCGTTTCTCTTGCCCGCCCACATTGTGGGCCTCACTAGTCCAATTGAATTCAAATTGAAAAGGAGGGGGCGGCTAGGGCTTGGGAGGGAAATTATATTACGAAAATTTTTGTATTAAAGAGCATGAGATGTTTAGGGAAGGATTATGTTTTGGTTTGTTCTCAACTAGGGTTACTTGGCAACTTGGGCTCTAGACTCTCTTGTCTAGAGATTTGAGAGAGATGATCCTCCTCTCGAATTGAGGATCTCTTGTGACTTGTTTTCATTATTATTTGGCTTTGATTTTCCTACCGCAATATATCGTTTTGGGGCTGTTTTCACCCAGAGTTCACATTATTCTTGCTGTTTTTCACCTATTGGTGATAGGTTTGCTTGCGAACTCAAGTATTACCCGTAGAGTTACTTGTTTATGTGGTGTTGTGACATGTTTTCATCTTCGTAGAACTTTCCACATCATCATGCATTTGAAAATAGTGCTTAATACTGGTCTGCCACTGTTTCCATTTTTCCATTGGGTTCTTTGTGCTTGAAGCATAATTGATCCCATGTTTCCTGGCTTTTTGTTATGTGGCTGACCGGTTTCATGACAGTTATATCATTAATGCTATTATCTGAAGCATTTTGAAAGTAGTGCTTAATACTGGTCTGCCACTGTTTCCATTTTTCCATTGGGTTCTTTGTGCTTGTGGCATAATTGATCCCATGTTTCCTGGCTTTTTGTTATGTGGCTGACCGGTTTCATGACAGTTATATCATTAATACTATTATCTGAAGCATTGTAAAATGGTTAATTTAAATTTTCTAAAAAAACCCCCCCCCCCCCCCCCCCCCTCCCTTTTTTTTTTTTGTGACATTTCATAATCCTTCTTTATTTAATTTCCCCACTCTCCTTCGTGATGTAAAAGCCAGTCAACGTTCTCTTATCTCCATGCTTACTATTGTATATAGCAAAGTATGCTTAATAGCCGTTGAATTGTGGTGGCAGGCCATGGCGAACTTCTTTGCCAAGTGGTTATATCTAGTAGGGCCTAAAGTTATCCTGAATCTTGGTATTCTGCAACTATTTTCCATTCAACTTGAGAATATTCAATCATTGTTAATTTGTGTTCTCTTTTGTCAGTTTTCATCCTAATTTGCTTTGCTTGATCTCGTTAAAATTGCATCAAGTCCCTTCGCTTTTGGACCAGCCTTCACTTTGGTCCTTCTGTTTTAAAAATTAAGGCTCTAGTCCCTATGATTTTAAAATGCCTTAAGATCCATAACCTTCATTTCTCTGTTGGTTGTTTTCGTCATCGGATTCATTTATTCTGTCATGGAAATTTGATTTAGTTTCTGGCGCGTGATGCATATTTGATGCAAAACATACTGTCAATGACCTAAGTGAATAATTTAACATAAATATCAGAATTTGGGTGAAAATTTTGCAACACCAAGAGTCGAAAGATTGATAGAAAATACTTGAGTTTGCAAGTAACCCTAATGAAAATACTTGAGTTCGCAAGCAAATCTAACAATAATCTGTAAAATCAGCGAGAAAAATAGAAGAATTTGGGTGGAAGCAATCAAAATCAGTAGATAATTTTATTGAAATCAAAGCGAAGCAAGAATGAAACAAAGATATAATTGATCCTCAATTCGAGAGGAGGATCGTTCTCTCCCAATCTCTAAACGAGAAGCCTAGAGCCCAAGGCACCAAAGAGAACTCCAAGAGAAATAAGGCATGCCTTAACCTTAGCCTCCCTCTTCTTTTTAATACATACTTCTTAATACAAAGCCAATAAAATCAAATTCAAATCCAATTCAAATGAATTTCTCTAATTGTTGCCAGCCCCCTTTCCCTCTCTCTAAATCCCTCCCAAAATGGGCCCCTCAATCCCCACGGAAGGAGCGGCTTAGCTCGTCTCCTGTATATGTGAACCGGTTCAAGCGGGGCCACTGTGCCGGTTTGGGTGGTTCAGGAAGAACCGTATCAAAGATCTGTTAAAACAGAATAATCTATTGAAATTTCTTCATCATTTATTTGGTAGTAATTTTATAACGAAATCAACTGTACTTAAAATGAATAGGGTTAATATAGAGTTAGTGATCAGGGCTATATAGTTGATTTTTTGCAATTCCTTTCAGTGATTAATCTGCTGGCCAGCTGAAACCTGTAAGGGCAGTGAAATTTTTTTCATTTTGATTATATTACAACTTGATGTTGTTTAATGAATTCCCTTGTTATTTATGCTATCAGAAGCAACTGGAACTCTTCTTGCTGTGCCACAGTTTTAAAATTGATCATCAGTGTAGTTGCTAAAGAGTTTGTTTAATCGATTTGCTGTATTTCTTCTTGTTACACACATTTCAATTTGTTTGTTGCCCGTGCTTATAAATTGGGTTGAAAGATGCTGATGTCTTCGGCTTTGTTAGGGATGACTTTCTTACTGCTTCTGAAAACATTTTTTTAGTACAAAAATTTTAATTTTTATGCTAGAAAGCTACTTTAAAAAACAATAAGAAAGCTGTCCCAAATGAAGCCTTCTTTTAAGGCATCTATTATTCTAAGGTTTCGTTTGGAATAGTTTTCTTATCATTTTTTAAAGTAACTTTTTAGTACAAAAAATTATTGGCTTAAAAATTTTGTACTTAAAGCTATTTAAGAAAACGGTAAGTTGTCCCAAAAGAAGTCTAAGGCTTTGCTTGGGATGGCTTTCTTACTACTTTCTAAAGCAACTTTCTAGTACAAATATTTTTAGTTAAAAAAATTATTTTTACTTTAAAAACTTCTTTAAGAAGCAGTAAGAAAATCGTCCCAAAACGAAACCTAAGTCATCTCAAGTAATTTCTAAGTATATTAGTGGTAATATAAACTAATTTTCTCCCTAATAACGTGGATATGCAGGTTGAACAGTTTATGTTTTGATTGAAGATTGCTAATAGAAGATTAATTTCTTAATCATTATTGCTTGGACTGAAGCAGAGAGGCTGGAAGCAGAAATTAACAGCTAAGCAAATATTGCACATCTTCTGTAACTATTTTGGTAACTCTGCTCCCTTTTTTGTTAGTATTTGATTGCATAGGCAATTTCAATTTTTGATGATGGCTTCCTATCACCCATGTTTCTATATAATTTGTTCTTTTTCTTCTAATGTACTAATCTTTGCTTAAGAATTGCCCAAAAAAACACACTTCTACATGTTTGTGATATAATCACCTTCCAATTGCAGCACTATTTGAACTTCAAGATTTAAGAACAGAAAAGATGATAATTATCTTGTAGAAAACGCTATATGAACTGTATTGTTGTTCTTACTATCTTGGAAAGAAATGATTGAATTGTAGCTTTTTATTGGAGTTTCAACTTACTTACAATTTGACTCTCTAAGGTAAAACTGGCCATGGTATTTGATTCAAAATGGCAGAAATTGATTAATTTTAATGGAGACTTTGTTTGAGACAGTTTTCTTACACTTTATAAAGCTGCTGTAGTAAAAAAATAGCTTTTTAAAGCTATTATGAAAAGCTGTTTTCTAATATCAAAATATTTTGAAAACAGCAAAAAAGCAGTGGTCAAATAAAAATTATGATTGTGATTTGAAAAGCTAAACAAATAGAAAATTGTCTCAAACGAAGCATAAGTATCATTAAAATTAGCTTAAATTTGGCTCATTTTGGAGCAATTATTACGTCCGGTCACCGAATGCATTCAGAGATCAGTAACCATGCGCCACGTCATCTAAAATTCGGTATTGAGGACTCGGTATTGCTCGGTATACATTTGGATACGTTCGGATTTCACCGGACGTAATAATTGCTCCTCATTTTGATGAAGTTCTAATGCAATTATTAACTCTGTGACGCCCCTTTTTTACCCCTATTATGTAAAATATATGCTATTGATGGATTCCTCACAATCATTATTACAAAAGTTTATACAACTAAATGTATCAGAATAAATTAGAAAATTTATAATAAATTTAAAAGATAAGTGATAGTATCAGAAGTTTTTAATTTGCATAATGCATATTCTTTCTATAGCATACTCAGAATGGTACAGTCAAAATATTAAGATTAATGTCAAAACCGAATGATCTTATTAAGGCCTAATTTACTCATTTTTTATTACGTTAAATTTAATTGTAGTTATTTACAAATATTATGTCAATGAATAAATTACTCTACTCTTTATATTATATATTATCTCATAACTAGTACTAAGTGTTCCGGGGATTTCACCACTTCTATTACGGTCTGGGACAGCTTTTAAAAGAAGCTTTTTACTTAAAAAATAAATAAAATTTTAGTTCAAAAAAATTTTGTATTAAAATGTTATTTTAGAAAGTAATAAAAAAGCTATCCAACTTTTCATGAATATGCCCGTTTTGTATGCTATCTCTAAGAGTATGTCTACTCATTCACCTGAGCATCCTCATCTTAGTAACATTTAACTTAATATTATGCTTCTCTTTTAATGGACAATATTCTACGCCATAAAGAATTGCAAATTTCACCACTATCTTATAAATTTTTTCCTTAAGTTTGAGTGATACTTTTCTATCACACAACAAACCCGAAGCATTCCTCCACTTCAATATTTGACACGAAACGAAAACCCGACCCGAACCTGACCCAAAAATTTTGGGTTGGACTCGACTGATTTTAAAACGGGTCGGGTTCGGGTTGACTCGACGGGTTGCCGGGTAAACTCAGAAACCCATCTGAAATGAGCTGCCTATGCTGCACGAGACTACTCGCGCTTGTCCTGGCTGCCCGTGCACCTGCTCGCGACTACCCGAGCGCTCGCTAAGGCTTTCTGCTCCTGCTGTCTGCCGCCTGCGCGCCTGAGGCATATATATATATATATATATATATATATTGCATTCTATAAATGCCACTATCTAATCTTAGAATATTGTTTTATTATATTTTTCATATTCTGTCCTTTCATCTTAAAGTCTAAAACTAATAACGAGGTTGGATTCATAAACTCTCACTCGGAATTATCCTTCAAATCCTTATTTATAATTACATGTACATTATTTCTAGTACGACTTTTATCAGAATGCCAAAGTTTAAATATTAAATTATCAATATCCTTAGCCTTTTCTCTAACCCATTTAGTTTCTTGAATGCATAAAATATTTATCTTCTAATGAATCATAATATCAATTAATTTCACTAATTTGCCTGTAAGAGAACCTACATTTCAAGATTTTATTCGAATTCTAGTTTCATGAACTAACTTCTTTGCCCACATTCGTCCATAATGTGGAAACTCTTGCCTATTTAACATTGCACCCGGGCGTCCATGCGGCGGCCCTTGCATACTTCTCGCTAGCTGTATCCAGGCCACACAACGTGTAGCTTCCAGGAACGCCCCAGTATTAATATAATGTATTAAAGGATTTATGTAATGATTATTTGACAAATTTTACGCTAGCTGTCAACTACCTAATGCAACCCTCTACTTTTCTCATACATAACTTAGGACATGTTAATAGTGGTGTTAAATATAGTTGGCTGTTTACAATCATTTTTATAAAAAATTGTGGCAGTCTCAAATAGACCTTTAGTCTTCAATAAACAATTTGATAAAATAATTTTTTTTTAAAATTTATAACTCAAATTTAACTTAAAAATAATTTAAAACTATATTTTTATCTCAAATATATATTTTTTATTGAAGATCCTATGCTTAACAAAGTTAAGACAAACGTGAATTGTTAAAATAAATAAAATTTTCGAATTTTTACCTTAATGCCAAATTAGTCTCTTTGTCTCTCTTCTTTCCTTTCGGCCCCAGCCCCTTGCATCTCTCTATTTTGACCTATAGCTGGATGCTTATGGGAAGTGAATAAATGAATTGGTAAAACTTAATTAAACACTTTCTTATATATACAAGTATTAATTAGATAAAATGATCTAATATCTTTTAAATCCAAAAATCATCTCAGCCGTTCGATTTCATTTATGGCTTCAAATGTGGAATTGCTTTTTGCTACAATACAACAATCTCTTCTATGCTACAATGAAATAATTGCAATAATGTAGCAAATTTAATGAAATTTGTTTGTGATAGTTTTCTTAATGCTTTCAAAAGTATCATTTTAGTAAAAAAAAAATTAGTACAGAAATTTTTAGTTCAAGAAATATTTATACTAAAAGCTGCATTTGAAAGCATTAAGAAAGTCGTCAAATGAAGCCTTAGACAATCTTTTTGGGGTGATAGAAAAAGAGTTTTATTTCCACATTTTATATGAAGATCCAAATAGACAGATAAAAAGAATAAATACAAGAGATACTAGAGTTTACATGTGAAAAATTCAAAAAGGAAAAAAAAACAAAGGGCATTGCCTAATGGATATAAGTGATGGTGGTCAAGTGATAATAGTTTAACAATGACAATCAGATGATTATAAATGAATGATAACATCTCGATGCCAATGATCATATGATGATACTCGTGTGACAGTAGTGCACTGATGACTTGGATGCCTGTGGTGGCCAACAGTGACCATTGACATCAAATGCCACATAGAGCCCTGAGTTTTTTCAAATCTTCAAGTTTTATTCAATCTCAACTCTAGGTCCTTTTCATTTAGAGAATATTGATCTATTTATAATATTTTATGAGAGGTATTTTGGTAAATTCAATCAAAATTTTATAACACTCTGTGGTCCTCTAAAAGGACACCGCTCGGCTGCAAAGTGCAGAGAGTATACGACTGCACCACCCCAATGGATAGAAACGATCGCAGGCCTCCACGCTCTTCGCAAACGGGTCAATGGGAGGGCATATTAGATCATACATATGACTAACCATTGAGCATAGCGACTCTTGCCAGTGCACTCCAATGGGTAGTAATATATATGACATAATCAAAACAACGGGTTTCTCAAACCCAATACATCAGCTCGAGTGGAGTTTATTTGTTGGTGGAGTTCCATTTCCCACTGGCGCAAACTCCCGTGGTTAATTACATCTCGAGCCTAGGGCCTGAGAAAACTCTCAATTAAGGATTCGATATTATTCTTCTCCGATAAGGGATTGGCACACAAAGGGAGTCTTAAGAAATCCTACTCAAAGGGAAAGAAAGGGCTCAACTCAGCTTAGTTAACATACTCAATTTATCTCATCATCTGGAGGGATTAAGTCAGTAAGAAGAGAAAGAGAATCATACACTCAGAGCATACAAAGGGAAAAGATGGAAGTGGCGTCAACTATGTGACGCGGATAAGCATGATTTATAATCCTTGAAGAATAGGGAACTTACCCACTATTTAGGCATACAAAGAGACACCTAATGTAGTAGCCTTGAATCCTGAATCTAAGGTGAGTTTAGTATTCTACCAAACACTAACACCAATGTCCTAGCTAATGCACCTTGGCTTATACCCTGCCTGAAAAGGGATTCCAGCTAATCACCTAGGCACGTAAAATCCATGATGTCCAATCTTTATGAAAGATGGGTTGGTATGTAGTTTGAATATTTTGGAAGTAGCGCTAATGTCTAGAGAGTTTCATAATTTGCTCTGGACTTAGGTAGGGTGAATGCTCTTAGAGCTAATGCAATTAAATTTTGATTAAGTTGATTTACAATACAATGCATGCTAGTTTGAAAAGTTATAAATCATGAATGTTTGAGATTTTAAAAATAGGTTTATAAAAAATAATTTTTAAAAAAGACTGGGTCTCCCCAGGCCTGACACTTTATCCTCATAGGTCATATTATCCGAACTTTACCCGCAAGCGGGAAGGTGTCTTATAGCAAGGAGAAATAAAAATGCATTAATATGTATGCGAGCCCGGATGACTCTGGCTATTCCCTAGGTCGTTAGATTTCTAAATTATTTAAATCTTAAATTTTGAATATTAATTACGAGTAGAAAAATAATTTAATCCTAGAGAGCCTAGCAAAAGTAGGCCAAACACATGCAAGAAAAGAAACCTAAAAAAGCAGACAATTTTTTTTATGCAATTAATAGTAGACACATCAATATAAATTAACCTAGAGAAGTAAAGAGAGAGTACATGGCAAGTGCCGTATAAATACAACCTAGGGTCTGCAAAAAAATAATGGTGGTCAGGCTCCACCGCAACATCCTATATTCTAATCATAATGAAAGACACACGTCTTAAAAGCCAGGCATTTCATCTTCAAGTCTCCGTCTTCTAGTGGATCATCATTTTCTGGATCATCTTCCTTTGGATTGTCTCATTTGGATTGTCTCCTTCGGGCTCCG